CCAGTTTCTCCGCCTGTGAAAATATTCAGAAAATGTGAGTTTGTTTTTAACTTTTCTTCACTTTAACTTTTTTCAGGTAAAACTTTTCAGACCTGTGAAGCTTCACAGTCACTGTGTCCTAACTGTTGTCATGACAACCAATCAAGTACAACCAGCTGTGCATCATGGGATTAATTAACACTTTTGTAGTCCAATCAAAAAAACTGTAAAACTGATTGATAAGAGTGATGTCACGGAAATTTTTGTGTGTGTGTGTGTGTGTGTTTCAGTGATCTGCACCACAACGACATTGAGGAGCTGCAGGAGAACAACTTCCATGGTCTGATGTCTCTGTGCTCTCTGTAAGCACACACACACACACACACACACACACACACACACATGCAGGTGGTCTGAGTGTTGACAGGTACGACACACACTCGAGCGAGTGGGCGTGTCTCTGAGGTTTCTAACACGGAGGTGAAACTGGATGAAGAAGAGGAGCCGTACACGTAGAAGACGAAGACGAGGAGGTTCCAGATGTTTTGATGAAGTTCATCAGTTAAATTAACAAAAGTTTGTGTTTGTGTCGTTCTGTCGTTCCAGAGATTTGTCGTGGAACAGATTAACGTCAGTGAAGCCGAACTCGTTCTCTGCTCTACCCGCTCTGACCAAACTGTGAGCGACCAGAAACAACGACATGCAGCTCAACATGGATTTATTGGAATTTATTTGTTTTATAAAAACATGTAAATTAATTTTCTTTCCTCAGCGACCTGTCGTCCAATCAGCTGTCCTCCCTGAGTCTGATTGGTCTGCAGAGTCTAACTCACCTGCGATTGGCTGGAAACGATCAGCTGATGGAGCTGATACCTCGAGAGGATCTGCCTCGAGTCAGGTACACACACACACACACACACACACACACACACACACACACACTAATTGAACTTAACTGGAAGGACACAGGTGTAAAATGTGTGTGTGTGTGTGTGTGTGTGTGTGTGTGTGTGTGTGTGTTCAGGGTGATGGAGCTCCCTTACTCCTTCCAATGCTGTGCCTTCACCTCCTGTGAGAGGAGAGGAGGAGGTTTGTCGTGGGAGAGAGAGGAGGTGGTCGACTTCAGAGACAGCTCCGTCCTCTCCAGTCAAGGTGAACACACACCGACACACACCAACACACAACAACACACACCGACACACACCAACACACAACAACACACACCGACACACACCAACACACAACAACACACACCGACACACACCGACACACACCAACACACCATGATGAAGTTAAATGGTTTGTGTGTCTCTGCAGCTGATCAGGACTGGGAGGATTTCCTCATGGAGTCTGAAGATGAAACAAAACCTCAGCACGTGGTTCACTGCAGCCCAGCACCAGGTAACACACACACACACACACACACACACACACACACACACACACACACACTCATGATTGGTCGAGCAGCAGTTGATTAGCGTTCTGTGTAATTTTCCCTCAGGTCCGTTTCGTCCCTGCCTCCATCTGCTCGGCAGCTGGTTGATCCGTGGGGGGGTGTGGCTCATCGCAGCGCTCTCGTTGGTCAGCAACAGCCTCGTCGTGCTGTCGATTTTCTTTTCGCCCGCCACTTTGGTCACGCCCCCCAAGCTACTGATTGGCCTGCTGGCCCTGGTGAATGGCCTGATGGGAGTGTGGACCGGCTGGTTGGCCGCGGTGGACACGTGGACGTTTGGGAGCTTCTGGAGGTATGAGACCCAATCAGAGGCGCTGGGGTCAAAGGGCGACGCTACGGATGCTAAGCTAACACTGATTAATGCTCATGTGATCTGAGTGAGACTGAACTTCAGTGTGTGTGTTGCAGGTATGGAGCAAAGTGGGAGAGCAGCTTCCTGTGTCGACTCAGCGGCTTCCTGTGTGTGTTTGCGTCTCAGACGGGTCTTTTCCTGCTCACTGTCGCAGCTCTAGAACGATGCTTGGCCGCCGCCACACGACGCGACAAAATCAATGACGGCAGCGGTGAGGAGCGTCGATTTACACGGACAAAAGAACTTTACATCGTTAATGTACACGTGGACAAAAGTTTTGTAGCTGTTGAAATATTTAGTGAACGTGAGCAACTCGAAGTCTGAATTTTGTTTATAATTGATTTGATTCGTAAACGTCCCTCTTTCCTCCTCAGGTCGCTCCTCGTCTCCGTTCTCCGTGCGTCTCGCTGTCTTCCTGTGTTTCCTGTTGGGTTTGGCCGTCACGCTGCCCCCCCTGGTGGCCGGACACAGTAGTACCTCCCTCTGTTTGCCGCTGCCATCCTCCTCTTCCTCCTCTTCCCTGGCCTTCTCCGTCTCCCTGGTGCTCCTCGACTCGTTGTGTTTCCTCGTCATGACGCTCGCCTACACTCACCTCTACTGTCGGGCCAACAAAGCTCCGCCCACCTCAGAGGAGGAGGCGGCGCTGACCCGACACGTGGCCTGGCTGCTCTTCGCCGACTGCCTCCTCTACCTCCCTGTGGCCTTCCTCTCCTTTTCCTCTCTGCTGCACCTCCCCGCCACTGGGCCCGACGTAGCAAAGGGCGTGCTGCTGCTTGTGGCGCCGCTGCCGGCCTGCGTCAACCCGCTGCTCTACCTCATCTTCAACCCCATCGCCAGGGAGGAGCTGGCGGCGCTGGCCAAATACATCTGCAGGGCAAGGCATCAGCGAGGAGGAGGAGGAGGAGGAGGAGGGAGGTCGACGACTGTAAAGATGGATTCAACGTACGACGAGGACGCAGAGAAACAGTCATGTGACTCGACTCAGGCGCTGGTGGCGCTCGGAGGCACGAAGGAGGACGAGGATGAGGAGAGAGGGAGGATGAAGAGCGAGACACAACGTTCAGTAGTGTTTGTTGTTCAACGTCACTAGACTCACAAACACACACACACACACACACACACACACACACACTGATTTGACTGTGGCAGCACATGTAGCAGGACGAGGACGGTGAAAGAAAAAAAACAAATGGACGCACCGCACGTTTGACCCCGACTCTCTCACTTTCTCTTTTATTGTCTGCATTTGTCTCTCGACCGTTTTTTTTTTTTTTTTTCTCGTAACGTCAAACTAAAGAACTGAGCTCCATTAACTTCTGCTCCTTTGTGATTGGCCAGTTCTGGATCACATGGGAGAAGACACACACACACACACACACACACACACACACACACACACACACACACACACACACACTGATTTTACAGCATTGTGTTACTAAACATTCACCAAATGTTTAAGCAAATGCTGTTTACAGTGTGTGTGTGTGTGTGTGTGTGTGTGTGTGTGTGTGCGTGCGCAGCTCAGATGTTTTTGCGAGTGTGTGTCAAAGCTGCAGCGTCCGTGCGACTTCTGACACTGATTTGAAAACTGAAAACAGGAACGTGAAGCTCATGTTCAGAAAAAACAACTTTTAAAATAATCACTTTTATTTATTTTCTCAACAAAGTGAAAAAATGTCGTCAAAGTTTCTAAAACAGTCGAAGAAATAAAACAAAAACATTTACAGAAATAATTCATTTTTATTCATTAAGATGAAACTTCTGCTCGGAACATTTGGTTTCAAACTGTTTTAACGCGTCGATGATTAATGTTGTAAATGACAATCTGAGGTTCCTGTGTTCCACTGGGACGAATCATGTGGATGATATTTGTACAAAGATTCTCGACATCTGCTGCAAACGTTTTCTTTTTTCTTTTTGTTAACAAATGTAAAATGAGTCTGAAGATTTTACTGAACTTCCTGAAATTGTTGCATGAATGTCGTCATCGTCCACATTCTGTTAAAACTAACGACACGTTGTGAGTTTGAAAAACGAACGTTGACCTTCAGCGACATCTCGTGGTCTTCATCGGTGGGCAGCTGTCTCCATGACGACCGTGCACACACAGAGGAGGACGCGAGGTTTGGTTGAAAGATCCAGGAACCGGATGTGATTTGAAAAAAAGAAACTCATATGAATTTACATTTGTACAAACACACGAACTATGTTTTATTTTCTAACGTGTAAGTTCAAATTGTTGACATGCACATTGTGGGGGCGGAGTCTTCTGCAGCAACAGGAAACAAAAAAAAAAACTGAATGTGTGCGAGAGTTTGACTTTCGCACTTTTTGTGATCGGCACTTAAAATCAAAAAAAAAAAAACTTCATAAGCTTTGGTTGAAATGTTTTGTTGTAAATTGTTGTAGTTTGTAAAACCTGGATGTAACTGCACTGAGCCGTCTGTCGTCTGTTTTTGTAGATGTTAGTATTTTTGATCAAGCTGATCTCAGTTCAGCTTCACTCAACTGTCTGGAGATGAACCCACTCAGACGCTCAGCGAGCGAAGGAGGAAACGTTCTGCGTGTTCACACTCACACATCAGACTCACTTTAATCGAGCACTGAGCCCTGTGGGACTCCGTTCTCAGGCTTCACGTCACTTGATCCTCTAACCACTAAAACGTCTCCTCAGTTATTTCAGGTTCATTTGTTCGTGACTGTTCCAACAAAAGTCAGGAAACCATCAAACTCAGTGAAATCAAGCTTCTGCTTTAAAGTAAAAAAATCAAATACCGTTGATTTAAACAGTCGTGAAGGTGAAGACGAACTTTTATTCACCAACATAAAATAAATAATCTGATCAGTTAGTCCCTGATCGCCATGACGACGTGTTCACGTTCAATGACTGAAGGTCGACGTCAACATTTGTATTTGATCTTTTCTCAACAAACTTTATTTACAAAAATCCACCTCTTTAGGAAACAGACACAAAGCTCTTCCTCCGTCATCTTCATCTTCATCCTCATCGGTCTGAGTCTGAACCCACAAACTGCTGTGAGTCATCGGGACTAAAGAAGGTTTGAACGATTACACACTGAGTCAAACTCATCGTTCCACATCATCGCTCACTGAAACACGAAGGATCTGAAGGACGAAGGTAAAGTTTGACTGAGGCTGAAAACAACTTCAGTCAATGAGTCAGGAATTATTTATAATTATTATTATTATATCTTCATTTTAAAAAAGATAAACAGCTGCGGAACCTTCCACAGTCTGAAGCTGAACTCCAGCTGTGAACGGTTCCTCCGACCAGAGGAGGAGTTCTGGTTCTGGATCAAACTGAACCCGGTTCTGTTGGTTCACACTGAAAACACTTTGTCGAACCAATCACAGGAAGTAGAGACACATTAAACCATAGAAGAAGACACGTCGGCCATCTTTGTTCACAGATATGGACTTGATGCTGCTGCGGTCAGAGCTAACATGTCGGTACCATGACGCTGATCAATCCTGTGTCTGTGAACATGTTAACATCAGGATGTGATGTTTACATGTGCAAACAGAAGACGTGTCATCACACTCACTTCCTGGATCATCGCTGAGACGAGCGTCAGGTGTCACTTCCTGTTCCTGTTTGAGGAGTTTTTGGAATCTGAAGTTTCAGCGATGAGTCATCGAGGAGCGAATGAGTCGTTCACTCACTCATCGTCACTCGTTGATATCTTCCGTCTGAACGCCGCTAGTTTCAGTGTTTGTGTGTTTGTGGCCCAGAAGAACAAAACCAAGTCGAGGTGAGTCACTCTGAGTTTATTCTAAAACAATCGCACAATTACCCAGAAGACACCGTGACGGCCTCTGAGTCACTGTTCACTCATGTGGTGGTGAATTTATTTATCGTTAATTATCCTCAGAGTGAAGCTTCTTCAACAAGTTTGATTTCACGTTAAAACAGAAATACGTCAACATATGAAAGTAAATGATTGTGTGATTATTGTCTTTATCTCTCCGTCTATATAAAGATTATATTTGATGTTTATTTACGTTTCTGTTCAACACTTTATTTCTTCTTTTTGAAATCTTGATTTGCTTTTATTGAATCTGTTTTGAATTGTTTAGTTTTCACTGCTCACATGTACCAGTTGTACTTTTAGTTCGGTTTAAAGATGTTTTTTAGTTTTACTTGTTATTCTCTTTGTAACAATGTTCACTAAAGTGTTTAAATAAAGTTTCTTTTTCTTATTGAACCTTATTTTTGGCTGCGACACGACTGTGCTGCCCCCTGGTGGCACAGAAGATGAAATACATCACAGTGGGAACAATGAGGCAAAAGGATGATTTTTAAAATAAATATATTAATACATTTAAATCACATTTCCCCTCAAGACTCAAAGATCTGAGTTATTTTTAAATTACACATTTTTAACAAGTCATTCTATAAAACTGGTTTTAAAAGAGAAAAGTGAGTTGACTTGTCTCTAAACATCAGCATTGACATGACTTCCTGGTTTATGTATTCACACACACACACTCACACACACACCCACGCACACACACACACACACACACACACACACACACACAGGTGTGTTTTACGCCTGCGTCAGGTGTGTGAACGTCTTTTCCCATTTCGCTGTTCAAAGGTCAAAGTCCAGCTGACGGACAGAGACGATCCACAGACGCCACAAACAACAAGAACCTTTATCTCAAAGAAACGTTTCCTCTCGGTCGGGAAATAAAATCTGAACAACAGAAGAAAATCGGAGACGTCTGTAGAAACGTCGGGATCTAAGATCTGACTCTTCATGGATTCTACCTGAGGACGAGCCGCTCGGTCAGTCACAGACCGTCGGCCCAGCGGCGGCCATCTTGGAGAGAGACACAGGTGTGTTTGAACAAATATGTGTGAGCTGCTGTTCGTGTCGAGAATCTGCAAGAATCTGATCTTTACAGAAATAAGATGGAAAAACCAAAACACAACTTCATCCACAATAAATCAACAGGGACAGAATCCAACACTGAATAAGTGTTAATGTCAATGTGTTTATGTGAATCGACAACAGGTCATTGTCATAGAAAACAGAATCTAGTCAACGTCCTATAAAAACCTTTTGCTGTTTTCGAATTATAGTAAGAAAATGAAGAGATTGAAGGAAACATAACTGCAGAAAATATAAAGTTAATAAAGATTTGTTTCTATATATTAACTTTATTTTCTCGGGTTCAGTGAACTTTACATTTTCAAAAACTTGAAGTTGAGTTAATTCACTTTTAAAGGCTCATTTAAAGTAAAATAAACTTAATTGTTGTACAAAGCGACACACTGGGTCATGAAGTTGAACAAGAATAAAGAGTCTTCATAGTTTTTAATCGGTGGAAACTAAAATTCTCGACTTTTAAAGCTGAACTGCTTCTTTAATCTCACTGGTTTAAGTTTAGTTTCACTTCTGCTGTTGTTGTATAAAATACACTTACATTCATCTTCTGCATTAGAGCAACAATCTGTGTGGAACTTTGAATCCAGCTGCAGAGGAAACGATGACAGAAACTTTTATCAAAACAAGTTAGAATAAGAGGATGAATCTTATAATAACGTCAGTGTAACCATAAAACAAATCTATAAAGTTAATGATTTATTCAGCTGCTGCTCGACTTCAATCAGACGTTCATTCAAATATCTTTCAAGACGGAAACAATTTTTCCGTCTCATGTTTTTTCTCTGTTTGAAACACAACATGTCACAGTCACACAGAAATATTCCAAGCGACTCGTGCATCATAATGATTTTAAACATTTACACAGAATTCACAGAGACGCTGGTTTTAAATGACTCAAACTAAATGTAACATGAATTTATTTTATTCTGAAATGTAGGTGACATGTGAAGACAAATAAAAACGACTAAATGACTGAATTAGTATTTTTAAGAGAATCCCTCAAGGTGCTTTATACGTTGGTTCTGAGCAGAGTCTGGAAACAGTGCTGATTAAAGATAAAAGTTTTCTCTTCCAATTAACTGGAATTAACGTAAAGTGATGGATTTAAAAATGACTAAATGTTCCATAAACTCCTCGAAGGACACGTCGGCACCAATGCAGCAATAAAACCAGAGACTTGTTTAATCCACCAGGACTCACAGGTTAAGTTTTGTGGCCAAAGTTTTAACCTTGAACTCTGCGTCATTATCAGTTTTCCTCCTTTCACCTACAACCTGGACAATCAGCTGAGGGACGCATTCGATAAAGACTCAAACATCTTATTAATCTTTAATTTACTTGTCTCCAGAAGTTCTCAGAAAACATCTATTCATGTTTGTGTTTATTCTCTCGGCAGCTCCTCCAGCAGGGCCCCTCCTGATCCGTCCCCGCTCCCCAGGCCCGGGGCCTCCTGCCGGGCGACATGGAGCCCGGAGTCAGCCGGTTGCCTCTGCAGGTGCTGGGAGAGAACGAGGCGCTGCAGCAGTTCTTCAGTGGTGAGATGTGACTTCTCTTCATCAGCTCATATCTCAGATTCTCTTATTTGAGAGTTTCAGGACAGTGGCCTCTTCTCCTCCGTTTATTCAGAAACAGATTCAGATCCAGATCACAGTGGATTTGTAAACGTTGATGAGGTTCTATGTGACGGTCTGATTGGTTCTCGTCATTCTTGAGAACCGGGTGACGGGTTCTGATGTTTGAGTCCAAACACGTGGTTTGTGTGTGTGCAGATCAGGATGTGAGTGGCGTGTTGGACAGCTCTGTCGCCGTGGACACGAGCATCCTGGAGCAGTACCTCGGAAACGACATGGATCCCAGCAACTTGTAAGATTCTCACCTGAACTCGTTCACAACAGGAACATGTGGGGGTGGAGCCTGTAGAGCAGCAGGAGGCGGGACATGACGTATACATTCTGATATTTTAATATATTTCATTTCATCGCCGCACAGAGAATAAATGCTTTAGCTGCTGGATGGTTCCTGGACACACATGCTGTTATATAACACGGGTGGAAACAGCTGTGACCTGGTTGGTTATCAGTCGCTGCGAAACCTCGAGATCATAAACAACCTAAAACACATTATTAACACAAACACACGGAACCAGAACAAACGGTGGGAATCACAGGACAAAATGAACGTCACATGTTTGTGTTGAAAACAAAGAGTCAAATATTCACAGGGAAAATGTTAAATATCAATCATGTAAAATAGTTCCCATACTTAAGAGGCTTTCTAAATACTGTTTGTCTCTTGTCCAGTTGCATCCACCGAACCAGTCATCATGTCTTTTGTGTGCTTCTTTGCATATTTCCCAGCATGCTCCCTGAGTCTCCTCCTGACTCGAGCTCGGAGGCCTGTTCACCTCCTCAGATACCAGGTAGTTTTTATTGTTTTTATCTTTTACCTGATCGATGCACAAAAATATCAAATAAAAAATAACGAGGCCAAACTTCTGCAGTAACAACGTCTTCTGGGCTTTAATGTATTTTGACTTTATTCATTTGTTGTCATAAATATATCGTTCTTTTCTAAACACCAGACTTCCATCACGAGCCGCCTCGTTGGTCCAACCAGCACCCCACCCGGCAGGCGTTTCTTCCCCCCACCCAATCTGCCGCTTCTTCGTCCTGTTGCTTTAAGGATCGTGGCCCCGCCCCCGGCCATCACGACCTGCTGACCTACAATCAGCTTCACAGTTTGGGCCTCACTAACACTTACATCAAGTCTGGGACTCCGCCCATCCCACCTGCCGCCCCTGCACACCTGCACCAGCACACACACCACTCACCTGAACACACATGCTACCTGAGTCCAGAGAGCTGCCCGCAGGTGTGCACCCCCCCCACACCTCCTTCTCCGTCCCTACCTTCCTCCAACAGCTATGCGACACCTCGCACCGGCCCGGTCCCACAGTCGATCACACCAGCTTCAACCAGTTTGTCGGCCCCCACAGTTTACACCCAGTAAGCAGATCTTAACTTCTGGTCTCTCTGAAGTCGTCATCATCACAAATATATATCGTAAACATTTAAATTCCTTTCTGTGATAAGAACAAACTGTTGTCGTCCAGGTTGTGCAGGAATCTCAAGCCTTCTTGACTTAAGTCAGATTTTTTACATTTCTCGGTTGCATACGTTGATTCTCTTGAATAATTTTATCTCACGTTATCTTTCTTAAGCTCCTCAGAAAGTAAAAAGAGGAGGAGATCTGAGTGTGAGGAACCGTCGTCAGGGATCGAAGCTTCCAGCGGTGATGTTGACGGGTCTTGCGGTGGAAGTGCAGGAAACAGCACAGGTGGAATCGGAATCAATTTGGGATCCTACCAACTTCTAACCTGGGAGCATTATAGACCAGGACAGTGGAGCACTTTGTACAACAGCAGCTACCAGACAATGTGAGTAAAGAAACCAGCTTCGGTTTGACATCTGGAGCTGTTGAGGTATCCGGATGAAAAGTCAATCAAGACATCTTCATATCAGCACGAATGGTTGTCCGTTGTTTCCAGGTCTCCTCCCGCCTTCCACGTTGACGCAGATAAAGGCTTCAACTACTCTGCAGCTGACGAGGCCTTCATCTGCCAGAAGAAGAACCACTTTCAGGTCACCATTCACATTGGTGTGGCCGCAGAGCCACAGTACGTCAGAACCCCCAACGAGACGCAGGAGGTCGACCACTTCCTAATAAAACTGTTTGGGGTGAAGGTACATACAGAACTTTAGGATCTAGGCATCAGAGACACAGAACTCAGACAGAAAGTGCTTGGGTAGCACCGGAGCACGTATTGACCATAACTGTTTATACAGATGGTCGACATGACGGTTCCCATAAGTGAAGTGTTGTTGTTCTCTTCTAAACTTGCAGCTCGAATCCCCGAGCCACCAGGTGACCATTGAGCAGTCTCAGCCGGATCGCAGTAAGAAACCCTTCCACCCTGTCAGGTAGGTGACAGATGTAGAGTCCGTACATGCAGCTGGAGCTTCGACGTCTGTCTGCGTGGACAGTAAAAACTTTATGGACAATAGCTAGAAAGTGGAGCAAATGCCCAAGTTAGAGATCTCTTATGTTATTAAAAGAAGTGTAAAATGTTTTTGGTTCATTATGAAACAATTAATAAATTTGGCATCTCGATAATTTTACACTCTTTTTGAACTCTGAACTTCCAGGGTGAACCTTCCCGGAGGAAAGATCTCAAAGGTCACGCTCGGCCGGCTGCACTTCGCCGAGACGACGTCCAATAACATGAGGAAGAAAGGAAAACCTAACCCTGACCAGAGGTGAGCGAGATTCTCAGTGAATTACCTGCAGGCAGTTAGCAACACGCCACATGCTAACTGTACCTGCTTCTCCAGGTACTTTCAGATGGTGGTCGGCCTGTACGCTGCAGTGGGAGACGACACTTTCCTCCTGACGGCTCTGATGTCCGAGAGAATCATCGTCAGGGTAACAACACTACAACTATAAATCTACAACTATAAATCAAAAGCTCCCTGAGACAAATCTCACAGGATAAGAGTCGTCTTCCTCCTTCAGGCATCTAACCCTGGTCAGTTCGAGATGGACGGGGACGCCCTGTGGCAGCGCGGGGCAGTGCAGGACGCTGTGGTCTGTCAGGGTCGGGTCGGCATCAACACCGACTGCCCTGACGAGGCGCTGGTCGTCTGCGGCAACGCAAAGGTGATGGGCACCATCATGCAGCCGTCAGACTTGCGCGTCAAACAGAACATTCAGGAGGTACGACGATCTTAAGTATTTGTATACTTGAACAAAGTGGAAGCGATTTGAAGGTTTAATATTGGACCAATATTAAAACTTTACTTTATTTATTATATTTGTCTGAAATGTACATTTCACGTCAAAGTTTTTCTTATCTTTAAATTCTTTTTGTCATTTTGCTGATTCTGTACGAACGTGTGTCAGGTGGACTCTGAGCAGCAGCTGAGGAGAATCACTCAGATGAGAATCGTTGAGTTTGATTATAAACCAGAGTTTGCGTCGACGATGGGGATGGACCACATCCACCAGACCGGTAACATGCTTATTACAATAATGAATCATGTGTTAGTACACCAGGTGAGAGGTGAGGGTATTACACGAGTACTGACAGTACTCGTTATTCAGGTTATAATACAAACAACATCAATAGTATTGATGATCCAGGTGTAATTGTTATTCAGGTATAATAGCTCAGGAGGTGAAGCAGCTGCTGCCGACAGCAGTGAAGGAAGTCGGAGACGTCACCTGCACTGATGGAGAGAGGATTCACAATTTCCTCATGGTGGACAAGGTACTTCCCTTCCTTCCTTCCTTGCTTCCTTCCTTGCTTCCTTCCTTGCTTCCTTCCTTGCTTCCTTCTTTGCTCACTTGCCTCTTCCTCCTTCAGGAGCAGATCTTCATGGAGAATGTCGGGGCGGTGCAGCAGCTCTCCAAACTCACCGACAACCTGGAGACTCGAATCAATGACCTGGAGGTCTGGAACCGTCGACTGGCG